GATAATAGTGGTAACACTACCTGTTAAAAAGTTAAAAGTAAGTGACCTGTGTTGATTTCTGGAGTTAGTTATCAATTTGAAATGCCTTGGGCCACCTCATTCTCAAAAGGAGGAAATGGTATTTACTGAGAAGGACGCACTCTCAAGTTGTTACTTTTTGCTGAATTTTCATATTTTTTCTTGTTTTGCACTATTTTAAATGTTATAAATTATAAAGTACAATTACAACAATGATAAAAATTCTTATGGAAAATTCATATACTGATCATGCCCCTCTCTAAAAGTACCTTGGCCTCCTATTAAAAATAGGATGGTCTTATCTGAAAATGATCTCCAGAAGTCAGTTTTAATTGAATCAACACAGGTGATTTGTTAGCAAGTTTGCTGACGATGTTGGTAATTAGGTGTTTCTTTCATTCACAGTAACAGTAATTAATCTACAATCCATGTGTATAAAAATATTTATTTTATTTTATACATTTCATGCAGGTCCTGATCAGATGAATAATATCACTACTATGGTTTCCAAGACAACTGACAAACATCACCATGGCAATGCCGAACATTCAAACAATAGTGTCCAAGATGATCCTGATCATCGTAACCTAGGATACCAGGAAAGCCAGGACCATGTCAACAATGATCAGGCTCATCTAAGTCACAAACATTCACAAAGTTTATATGGTCATCATCATGACGATGTAGAGGATAACAATGACCATCATCATCACCATCATCATCACCATGGCGCCAACATGAATGATGGAATAGCCTCCGTCGCTTGGATGGTTATCATGGGTGACGGCCTTCATAACTTCAGCGACGGGCTGGTTGTCGGTGCTGCCTTTTCTGACAGCATCACCGGTGGAATTAGTACATCTGTTGCTATCTTCTGCCACGAGTTACCGCATGAATTGGGTAAATGAGAATTTTATATTTAATGTGATATAATATGATATGGTATGATATGATATGATATGATATGATATGATAAGATAGGATAAGATAGGATAAGATAGGATAAGATAGGATATGATAAGATAGGGTAGGGTAGAGTGGGATGGGATGGGATGGTTTATTACCCATATTATTCGTGAAAAATACAATTTTGAAATAGGAAAAAAAACATATATATATTTACAGGTAATGGGAATTTGAAATAGCTTAGGAAGCCAAATTTGTCAAATTCTTTTAAACATAAATAAATATACAATAATTTAAATATTTGCCGCTAAACTGACTAAGTTAATGTAAAAAATGCAGCCAAGCCATATGACAATACTGTTTTCATAAAAGCGAAGAATATAATATTGAAACAAAATAGAGTTTGTCAGTGTGCCTTTCAGCTAGATGAACTTGACCATGGTTCACCATCAACTAATATGGTCAAGGACACAATTACTGAGAATACTTTATTTTCGCTTGGAATTGATTATACCTTTTTTCCTATATTTTACATTCAACAATCAGTGAAATTAAATTCCATAGAAAACACCAAAAATTTCTTTTCAGCAAAAATTAATTCCAGCTAAAATAAAGTATTTAACAGTATTCGTTATTCACTCACATGGTAGCTAAGTACTGTAGAATACTTTATTTTCGCTTGGAATTAAGTTTTGCTATTTGCGCTGGAGGAATGATTCAGTGAAAATAAAATCCAGCGAATATACCTTTTTTTCCTATATTTTACATTCAACTTGTCAAAAATCAGTGAAAATAAATTCCATAGAAAACACCAAACAAAAATGTCTTTTCAGCGAAAATTAATTCCAGCTGAAATAAAGTATTTTACAGTATAGCAGTTGAATTTTCTCTGATCTTATATGTTCTCTGGTCAAGCATGGTCAGAAAACTGACATTTTGTGTTTCTGATCATGGTCAGGACCATATTGCATTTGATGGTTGACTATGATAATTAACCTTTTCACCACCAGTTCCCTCTTTTCATAGAAATTCACAAAATAGTCCTGTTTATAGTCTGCACTTTCCTTCAGAAGTTTGAGACAAAAATAGCCAATTTTTTTGAGTAAAAACTGAAAATTGACTCAAGTTTTGTCTGTTGGCTCCAAAATTAGGTTTTATTTCCAGAAATATTAAAGACTATAAGCAAAAAGCGCAGACAAATTTCGGCGAGAAAGTCCAGTGGCGAATAAGTTAATGCTCGACCATTAAATACCATGGTCATCATTTCACCAGATATCAATATTTTTGACACATTGAGTTAATATACCTACAAATGTATAATGCAACCAGGGTTCTGCCCAGCCTGATTTGAGTGCCGGTCGCTAATTAATATGAGTTCATTAATATTCATGAGCTAATTAATATTCATTTTTCCATTCTACTAGCTACGATTTAACTACTTTAATTATTTTAACTTTTTTTAAATATTTCAATGTAAAATTAATCTGCTTTGATAAAAGTGAAAAAATATATACACTTTAGTTTCGCAATCACGTCTAAAATACGTATTTTGAGACATTGACCTCTGACCTGGCAGCCATTTTTTTTGTCAAAGCATGTCATCCGATTGTTACGGCCAAAGTGGAAACAAGAATTTAATTGTTTTCTTTTCCAATGGAATGCTAGTAAATCACATTAATAGTGAGAAATAAGTATTCCTTGTATCGCTGACTGAATATAGCCTATGAATTTAATTTTATGAACGAGTCATGAAGCCAAAAACATCAATGAAGTTTACTACACTCGAGTGCAAGTGCAGATTAAACGAACGACAGCTTGATGCATCGCTGCCGGTGAAGTGAGCAAGTTATTGTTCAACTCGACAAATCCTACACACAACTAAACATGCAATGGTAATCCTTCCTTCTGTTTATTTATCGTTGTCTTCCCTTCCATTATCTTGATGTATGATTTATTCCGATCTGGTTCATTTGTTAAAACTAACAGAATGTCAATCGGAGGTTAAAACAAAAACACATTTAATAGGCCAATGTCACACGTGTACGTTGATTTTGATCAGCTGTGTCTTCTTTCATTAAAGTTTTGTTGTGTGTTAATTTTTTGCATTGTGTTGTTGTGTGTTAAAACCAACAAGGACAATAGAATGATGGTCCAGTGGCCGACATCCTGTGTGTATCATAAACAAATAGAATAGTGCCGGTCGCCAACTTTTTGTCCTGGTCGGAAATTCTGAGTGCCGGTCGCTAGCGACCGGCGCCGACCAGCGTGGGCAGATCCCTGAATGCAACAGACAATCATACTATGAAACAGAAATCTTGAAAAAAAAATGTGGAATTGGGCCAATATGAAATTCATATTTTATAAAACAAAATAAGTCACAAAATTTCATTTCATGCTTTCTGAAGCTTCCCTCAGTCTTTAGTTATTCTTTAATACTGTAAAACCATTTATATTCACTGACATTTAATTTCACTATTTTGATGTTTTGAGCATATTCATTATGTTTTAATTCCACAAATTTGTGGAGCATTCTATGGCTTCCTTGAGGGCCAAAATTACTATCTGACAGGTCACAGTTGAAGACTGTGGCCACATGTGATCCCTGGTCAATCAGAATTTAATAGTTGACAGAGGATCTGCTCCCCAGGGTAAGGAGGCACATGGCCATGGAATGAGGGCGCTGCGCCCTTGTTCCCTCGTTTAAAAAAATCTCTGCTTGCTCTAAAAGAAGAGCATCTTCAATTTTTTTTTTAAATATTTTTTTTTTCTCATATCAGGAGACTTCGCTATTCTACTATCTTCTGGGATGGCGGTGAAGCAAGCTGTGATGTATAGTCTGTTATCGTCGATATTGAGTTACATCGGCATGTTTATTGGGATCGCCATCAGCAATATCAAAACGGCGAGTTTGTGGGTTTTCGCGCTGGCCGGTGGAATGTTTCTTTATATAGCCCTTGTTGATATGGTGAGCTATAATTGAATTAAATATTGAATTGAATTTAATTAAATATTGAATTGAATTTAATTAAATATTGAATTGAATTTAATTAAATATTGAATTGAATTTAATTAAATATTGAATTGAATTTAATTAAATATTGAATTGAATTTAATTAAATATTGAATTGAATTTAATTAAATATTGAATTTAATTTAATTAATATTGAATTGAATTTAATTAAATATTGAATTGAATT